GGCTACTGGAGAGCTTGGGAGGATTTTCTGTCCCCTCGATTTACATTTCTGCTCTTCATTACTTGTACATTGCACACACAGCGACTTTTACAGTCTGCATTTGCTTCTCAGCATTTCGTACTTACATTTACTGCACTGCTCTTTCTCAGTATGGGCTTATGATATACTTCCATCGTTAGCCCCAGTGCTGGAGGTGGTGGGGATTCCCGTGACCCCATATTCATTGATATTTGAGGGCCCGCACCGGGCGAGGCCTCGAGAGACCCTGGTTCGCCTGCGACAGTACTTCGACACTGTGACACTCAGAGGTACTTAGAACTTTCAGTTCTTTTCATTTTCATCTTTGACTTTGCTCTGTATATTCTCGTTCTCTGATTGGTTTATACATTTATCATCCGCAGATTACTTGGCAGCCTTGGGCACCTCTGGGTGATGATCTCCTACTTCAGTATACCGGAGCATCAGGCATCTCCCGGTATAGGGTCCTGCTCGAAGGGCCAGTCGGCAGAGTCTGGTTCCTGGGGAGCGCTTTCTGTGCCAGGTACGGGGGTATCTTTCTCAGGATGTTCCCGCGGTACCTCCAGCTAGTATGCGGACCGCTGACAGGCTCTCTTACTCAGAGGTAGTCGGCGCCATGCTGGGCAGGATGCTTTGTTATATGTTGCGGAGGGGGACTACGCCACCTATCGTCACATATATTTGATGCCTCCATTGACAGAAGCTCGTATTCCGATGATGAGACCTGCCGGTAGTCATCCTCGGATCAGGCTCAGGCTCGGCGTACAGACATCCCTTCTTCTAGAGGGCTGGCATCTAGAGGTGGGAGTAGACCGTCCTCCGGCCCGTCGATTCATCCTCATGTGGATGGCCAGATATGCCCACTGAGGATGCGTGAATGGATGGGACTAAAGACCCATAAAAAGCCACCATCTGGTACTTCGCACACGGTGAAAATCAACTATAGTCATTGAGAAAGATAAGATGACCCTATAACCTACAGAGCCATGATTATGCGCTATTGGCGGATTTATTTGATCACCTAAATACTGGGTGCTTACCATAAACTGTACTTACCATGGCAAGAGATGTAAGACTTGGAGGATCGACATTGAGACTCTAGCGCAGGGATTACCGCTTACACAGCGACAACTAGAAGCGCCCTACTAGCAACCGACTAAAAGAAAACACCGCCAAGAACCGCCTGGCGAACAAGATCGATTATGCCATTGATTCCGGACCTCACCGCCG